ATCCAAATAAAGTGGATGTAAGCAGTTATAGGCAACCGTACGGCCTCCAACAATGAGAAAAACACATACCGTATAGTCGGCTATAAAAAGCTCCGACATGAAAATGTAAAACAAGTCAATTGAGTAAACTAACGGCTTGGTTTATGTACAAAACAATAAACGAAAAAGAAATACGATATACAGCAACAATGGATTTAGAGTAAAGACGACATTAACAGTCACAGAAAAACATGATCTTGTGTAATGCCAAAATATAGGTATCGACAGATTGTAGAACCGTGCATGTTTGTATAACAACAAATGTTTGCTGAAATTTTCTTTATATATCATATTCTTAATTTTTCAATCAAAATTTCAATGGGCGAGGGGTGGTGCCATATATGAAATCACAAAAAAAGTTGACACATTTCTAGAAAAATGGACTAAAATGAAATCTTTTCCTATTTCAGACTAATATATTTATAATATTTGAAGCAGATTTAGAATTTTTCTTGTTATACTTTCAAAACTAATACATCCACCAAATTAATACATACACATTAGATTTACTCAAAAAATTGAAGTTTAAACAATAGACCTTTACAGGGTCATTTAGTGAGGTTATAATGGCTCTACTCCTTTATATCGAAAAAATGTAGAACTTAAATATGATTGATATCATCTTTTTACGTGATTACCTGTAAAAGATTAATTAAGTAGGGCTGGACTAATATGCAGGAGTATGGAATATCTTCGTGTTGACGATTTCTTGATGACAATAAATAATCTGTTCAAACTCGACTTGCAATGTCAACTTGCAGAGTTTATTTATATAATATTTAACATATTAACGTCTCGAATATGCATGTAATATTCTTAAGAGGCCATGTCAATAAGCATTGAGCTTCATATTGTACAAAACCTTGAATGTGCAAAAACTTAGATTCAGTTTAAAATGCTCTTAAACGATTTGTTATGTCATAGGGAATAATATGTTAAAGAGAAAAATTTTCTTTTCAATCATGTCCTATTGGCCGCTGGACGTTGCGGGTCCATTCTTATAATATCAGATTACCATCGTTACAATAGTAAGTAGATCCGACACCCTAAGTGAGTAAATTTAAGCAGTCTTTGTCCTTTGGCCCTCGCGTTTTAAATTTGAAAATTTAACTGTCTCGAGTGGATAAATATCGTATCTTACTCGATGCAGTGGTAGAATCTATATGTATTAGGCCACACCAATTTGATAAATAGTTCTTTGGATTTTCCCGCTCCTGTTTTGGAGAAATTGACTTTTCAATAAAAAAAAATAATTACCGCTTCCGCAAATTTTTGGGCCGCATGCCGCTCTAAATTTAATTTCTCCTTGAAATTTTTTTTTCACATAGACGTTTTTCTTGTGCATATATTGCTCCAATCGATTCAAATGCACGTGTGATAAATCGAATTGTAAATAGAAGATCAAAAATCGGGATGTCAACATGTAGTTGTGTCAGCTCATTGCCGTGGATAAGTAGTTACTGAACACACAGTTATCCGAAATGTATCTCGTTTTATCTAGTAGGAAGATTTGTTCTAGGAGACAAATATTAGAAATCTGTCTTTAGATGACCACGATCACATCAATGTTCGTTTGAACCATCGTCATCCGATCATTGTTTCAACAGACATAGACCTGAATCTGAATAAGTACGTTACAGGGCCAGGATATGACATCTTTTGTAAGGGAAAATTTAAGAGTTCCAACGTTCGAGACCAAAGTGGTGGTATTGTGAATGGCATGCTCATAATAATTAGGGATGTGTAATTGGTTCAACCACTTCTAGTCAAGCTAAAGAGTTTAAAATGCATTGCAGCTTTTAGGAGCAAAAGGAAAGAGTATTTTGCTGTCAGAATAATGCATGTGAACGTAGTGACAGGTATTTTAAGGGAATATTTTAATACATTGAGATCTACATTCATAGCAATATAACTATCTTACTCATGATGTTGTTGAAATATTCACCTCACTCATTATGTTGATCCTTAGTATGGATAAATAGTTCCAAGTGGATATCAAGCAGCCAATAAACAATCATTACCATATATAGATATAATGAAAACTATATAACAAATATTTGATATTTTTCAGGGACATTTTTTTGGATACATACACATATTTCAACATATGTCATTTACCTAACTAACATAATTCCTCTTGTTAAACTGCATCTGCTATGCTTCCTTAATATATACACATGTATGAATTTTAATGAAAATTCACGCAGACAACTATAAAACAGATGATTTGATATGATTACCAATGAGACAACTCTCCACAAGAGACCAAATGACACAGAAATTTACAACTATAGGTGAACGTATGGCCTTCAACAATGAGCAAAGCCCATACCGCATAGTCAGCTATAAAAGGCCCCCAAATGACAAATGTAAAACAACTCAATTGAGTAAACTAACGGCCTAATTTATGTACAAAAAAATGAACGAAAAACAAATATGTAACACATCAACAAACGACAACCACTGAATTACAGGCTCCTGACTTGGGACAGACACATACATACAGAATGTGGCGGGGTTAAACATGTTAGCGGGATCCCAACTCTCCGCTAACCTTGAAAGTAGTGTAACAGTACAACATAAGAACGAACTATAAAAATCAGTTGCTTAACTCATCAGATGGATACAAATAGAAATACATCTAACAAAAACACAGAGTGGATGTGGCCGGGTACTTGTATATCCCAACAACAAAAAGACACTAAGTACACATTTGAGAGTACTCGCAGTTACTGACAGATAGTTCAAAGCCACTAACAACTAATAAAAAAAATCATGCATAAAGCTTATTTGACGAAAGTAATCAAAAATTATTAAACCACAGCGAGACGAGAAAGTTGGGTAGAATAAATATGTTTAAAACCAGTTGTTGGCATGACACGGGTTATGTTCTTCTCATATATTTTATGATGGTATAATATTAAACCCCTAACAGGAGGTGTTGTGCCTGATATTCATATGATGAAGACATAATCTTTCAATCAGTTAAATTGAGGTCTGGAGCAGGCATGTCAGTAACTGCTAGTAGTCTGTTGTTATTTATGTATTATTGTCATTTTGTTTATTTTCTTTTGTTTCCTATTCTGACATCGGACTCGGACTTCTCTTAAACTGAGTTTTACTGTGCGTACTGTTGTACGTTTGTTTTTTCTACATTGGCTAGAGGTATAGGGGGAGGATTGAGATCTCAAAAAACATGTTTAACCCCTCCGCATTTTTGCGCCTGTTCCAAGTCAGGAGCCTCTGGCCTTTGTTAGTCTTGTATCATTTTTAATTTTAGTTTTTTGTGTATAATTTGGAGTTTAGTATGACGTTCATTATCACTGAACTAGTATACATATTTGTTTAGGGGCCAGCTGAAGGAGTTTCTCGCTGCATTGAAGACCCATTGGTGGCCTCCGGCTGTTGTCTGCTCTATGGTCGGGTTGTTGTCTCTTTGATACATTCCCCATTTCCATTCTCAATTTTATTAACGGTATCAACTTCAATGCACTATATGCGCACTTCGACAATTAATGTCCCGTCAGTGATACTTCAGGCCAAAATATTTGAAAATCCAAACTTAACATAAACTTTAAGGAACTTTTTTTTTTGGCGATGGTCAGTGTTACGCACTTTTTTAAAACTCAAAGAGTACCGTAGGTGGCCTGTTGCAAAGCAAAATATCTGCCCTTTTCCAACAGACCCTCATTTTTCCACTGCAGTCCAAATTTCCTGTCCTTCATCCCGTTCACCTACCTATTGTATCAATTGATTAACTTAACTTGTTCTCGTCCTGAATATGCATGCATGAAATTGAAGTATATGCCTCTAAGTACTAAACAAGCCATAGTCCAGCAACTAAACAATCAATCAAAAACATACAACTATTTTAGTGGGGGTAACGATAAATGTTGACGGGAAAGAAAAACGAGAAGCGTTGACACTTTATATTTTTGATAATTATCAAAGGATCAACATGATTCTTTTGATCCCTATTTCCAGATATATCCTTCAAATTATTAAAATAACAACCAAATTTTAAATGGCAGCTAATCGGAATCGAAAAAAGAAATTAAACCCAATTGTCGTTTTTTCGGTTTATATTTATGATAACGAAAAATGGAGGGACATATATATTTGCGTCCATTCGTTTTTCGATTTGAAAGAAAAATATAAAAAAAGGAAAATGCAAGAATTTCAATTGTTCGTTCAAAAATTAAAAAAAAAGAAGAATTATGTGCGGTCCGTTAAATATAAAATAAGGAGATGTGGTATGATTGCTACGGACTTCCAACAATGAGCAAAATATATACCGCATAACAAGCTATAAAAGTCTCTGACAAAACAATTCAAACGAGAATACCAACTGCCAGATGTATGTACAAAACAACAATCGCAAAACAAATATGATATACAGCGAGCAACGACAACCACTGAATTACAGGCTCATGACTTTAATTGGGATAGTCACATGCATAATATGGCGGGGTTAAACATGTAAGCGGGCGCCCAACCCTCTCCTTATCTGGGACAGTGGTCCAACTGCACAACACAAAAAACAACTTTATAACACAGAAACCGAAAAATAAATATGAAAAACAGCTACAAACGAAAAGCACTCAATTAAAGGCTCCGGATTTGCAACAGGCATTTATACATCAGACTACTTATGTCATCTCATCGGAACCCCATGTAAGCATTGTGTTGCATTGAAGCAGTGTCATTTTGATAACCCATCCTGGAGTACCCGATATGAGTTGCAGTTTGATGAAAGTTCGCAATGAACAAAATTAAGGTGTTTGTGTTTGTTGGTCTACTGTTTTTGTTGGCCTGTAATGTCAAGTATCTTAGGAACAGTCTCGTTCGTGCAATTCCTCTGTTATTCAGATCCCCTTTTTTAAATTGCATGCTGTTTGTTTTGTATCTCTTGCTTACATGTTAGATCTACAACGTTTGTCCTTTAAGAATGAAAAGATGAATACAAGTTTCTTTATATTTATTTCTTAACAAAGATAATAACCACATATAATCAGACATTCTAGGTGTAGAAAATCAACAAAGTTATGTATACAACGACTAGAAAAATAGCAACAGAAAACCAGTGGCTTACATATAATGTAAATAAAATAACTAGCCCTAATAAACAGCATAACATATAAGAACATAACATATAAGAACGATTAGGTTGTTTTGATTGATAGATCTAATTTTAATAAACATGATTCGTGTGCATTTATTTTTTCCTTTCTAGTATATATTCGGCAATATATTCAAGAGTTGTCTACCTTAGATCGATTAAATGTCTTTTTGTATGTTGTAAAATATTAAAATATTATTATTTCCTTGATTCATGTCCAATTTCATTTCTCAATAATAAACACGTTCTTAGTATCAAACATAACATTAATAGCACTATACTGAAGCATCACAATATAAAATGGAATGTGTAAAATTAGCACAACTCAATATTCTTAGTTTTCACCAATTTGATTGTTAAAAGGGCACCAAATTCTCATTAAACTGTAAAATAAATAACAGTTTTGCAGCAGACAATTACAATTTCCAACACAAAGTTTAGATCAGGAACTACTACAATCCCCCTGAACGAATAAAAATGGGAACAAATGCTAATGAAAACACAACTATGATAATTTCCTAACAACATGTCAATCAAATTATTATTTACGTACTTAACGTTTAAGCATTGAAGACAAAATCTGGCAATTCGCAACACATCTGAAAATAAAACCATTCAAGCTTTGAAGCAGTTGACCAGAAAAACGTACACCATATACAATCATTTTAGCAAACATTGCTTAAATTTACTCTAATTCACTGAATAAAGTATTGGCAGAATATGCAAATCAGTAGTATGAGAACACATATTCCTCAATATGAAAACTATATAGCTTAAAAATTGTAGGCAGAGTTGAGTGGATAATCAAAACAGCATACCATATACCATATACTAAAAATGTCGTCGGGGGCATACATCTGGTAAAAAGAATAAAAAAAAAATCAATATGCACAATATTGATGTTTTCATGATACACGACTTATATCAAAAAGTATGTACCAATTTTAAGTCATTCTACTAAGTATAGTTCAATTGTATGACAATCAAAATCAAACCTATAAACCAGGATTCTATCATTCATGCTTTCGCTGGTGAAGTCATTTCTTCAGGTTGTCTGGCTGTGCAGTAATATTTCTTGTGTGCAACATATGTCGACAAGTACGTGAAAGAAATGTCACAATATTTACAATACTTTGCATTTGTTGGTAACTTTTCGGTCGTACGATCAGTTGGTGACGTCCTACACGAAACTCTTGGAACAACCAACGGAGGCATGACCTGCATTGCCAGTTGATAATAGCGTGCTAGCTCTGGATTAAGAACTGGCGACCTTAATGGCGATGGAGGCTCATCGGACGAATAACTACGCTCAGATTTTATGATATGATTTTTTGATTTCTTTTCCAGTGGGCTATTGCTACAAGAACTGTTGTTCAAATCCGAGTCAGCAGATGACGATCTCTTCCGTTTACGATTTGTTTCATTGTTATTTAGATTTGATATATGTTTGTCTTTGTCTTCGTCCTCGATGTAATCGCTTTCTTCGGGCTCTCTTTTAATTTTAAGAGGGAGATTAAGTAAACTTAGCGTTCGTTCCCTTTCCGCATCTTGTGCTATTTCCTTTGCTAGTGACCTCTCCTTTGTTTCAGTAGGAGAGGTAGAGAGTTTATCATCTTTTCCAGGGCTTTTCCTTTCATTCTTCAATTGTTTTGATGATGAAGTATCCTCTTCACTATCTTGTCTATTATCAGTATCAGGTGAATTCGAATTAGCTGGAGTTGTTTGTTCTCGTCTCTGACATTTTTCATCATCCAACTTTACGTCTTTTAAATGTTTATGTTCTACATGAACCATAAGACTAGGAAAGGTTTCAGCTACATATTCACAGAAGTGACATTTTAAATTTCTAGAAGATGCAGCATGGTACGCTACCATCTCATGTATTCTTATATGCATGGCTAAACTTGTGTTGTCGTTAAAGGGTTGCCCACAGAAAACACACACATTCTTAGGAGAAGGTTCTCGTATACTTGTCATATGTTCGCTTTTCTCGTAAGACTTTCGAGAACGTCGTCTTTTGTAAGGTTCGTTTTTGAGTCTTATTAGTTCTGCTTCCACATTTGTAGAAGTAGTTTCATTTGGATTGTTAAAAATTATAGGCACTAGTGGTGGCTCTTCTATTTCCACCATGTGTTCATCTGAAAAATCTTCGCCATTGTCAATATGCATTTTGCCATGCATGCGCATTCCTCTTACAGTGTTCCCTCTGTATCCACAAAGGGTACAACGATAGGCTTTGCTTGGCATATGAACTTTTAGGTGTTCTGATATCCTGTTTTCAGTTTGTGTCACATAATCACAGTATGGACAGCGCAACAGTGGGACATGTGTTGTAACACCAGTACAATAATGGAGTCTCAGAATTTTAGCAGATGGGAATGAGGCTCCACATCGACTGCATTTAATCATAGATTCATCGTTACTAACTTTTTCTTCATCGTTGTCACGTGGCATATTTCCACTTGGATGCTTACCCTCTTGTGTAAATGGGCAGTAAAATTCCTTGTGTGCTGCTAATGTACTTGTTGAGCTAAATCGAATTTTGCATGGATCACAAATGTACTGACAAATTTGTTCTTCTACTGTGCTGCTGACCGGTGATATACTGTTGGACTGCGTTAGTTCAGGTTCTATCATATCACTGGATTTTGTAGCTGAAGATTCTTTCGATTCTTTTGGAACGCATGAAGTCTTTCCCGACTCCGACTGAGCATTCGTTGGAGATCCAAATTCCTTGGTAGCATGAGATTTTGCGTTCGTCATTGAAATTTCTGTCGAATCTTTACTGGTTTCGTCAACATCATCCACTGAATTGGAACGTGTTTGTCGTGAGGAACAATAGTGCTTTTTGTGAATAATATAATTTTCATGTTTGTAAAAAACAATGTTACAATCCACACATTTACTAACAGAATGCGGGACCGGTGGTATTGGTTTTCCACTAATAAACTGTACGGGTGGAACTGTTACAAATGGAGAAATCCTATTAGGTGGAATAGGTGATGTTGTCTGATCTGATTGAACTGAACTTGATCGATCTCGTTGTATTGGTGACTGTACGGGCGATGACGATGTTGAACAGGAAAGGTTTGAGACTTCATCCCTCTTTATTGACCCTCTCCGCTTTCCATCAGGAGAGATGAAAGATTTTGGGCTTATACTGTTTTCTTTATCGCTGTCATCACTTGACGTCGATTTTTTAGTTATTGACAAATCTAGCGGCTGATCAGAAGTTACTTCAAGCTTTTGTTTCATTTTAATATGAGATGCATTTCGAGGAGATATGTTATTCGGTGACTGTGGAACAACAGGCTGAACGATAACGGTAGGCATTCCGAATGGGATGCTAAGCATGCCACGTGCTACAATAGGAGGTCCCAATATAACATTGGTCTGACCGGACATTAGAGAAGCAGACGATACATTCATCAGGTGTTTGAGATTCTTCGAGGCGACTGGTGACATTTGTTCTTGGAATTGCAAATTCGGAAAACCGTTTTGTATGCCATGTTCATCTTCGGGTGTTCGCATTCCCATTGCATCAGGGCGTTTTGAACAGTAGTATTCTTTATGGCATTTGAACGTAGAAAAAGACGAGAACTGTATATTACACTCGGCACAATACGAGTCTTGTTTGGATACAGGGGATAAACTTGACGAACTGGACGTCGGTGATGTACTTCCTCTGCAGTGGATTCTTTTATGTCTATTTAAACTTGATAATTTATCAGATGTGTAACAACAGAATGGACAATGAAATAATTCTCCATTTTTTAATAGTTTTGTTTCGTTGGATTCAGATTCACTTCGCTCTTCAGTGATAACATTGTTTTGTTTGTCGTTCTCCTCATTTTGAGATTTCACACTTTCTGAAGACCTCTCTGTATCTGCAATAATAAAAAAACCAAAAACATGGTACTTATCTACATATGATATTCCATATTATACATTTGGACAAGACAGACATTTGTTTTAAAATGCAAATCTGGCAAATTATATCTATCCGTTTGACTAATACTATATAAATTATATTTGTCTTTTTTCGATTTAGTAATACTAGTAACTAGCTTGTTGCAGGAATAATAAAATAAAGAAAAATTGAAAGAGAGGCAAAATTAAACATTATCAGAAGCATATATGTTACATCCCGGCTTGTTTAATAAAAAAAATCTTAACAAAAATACCAAACTCAAAGTTAAATTAAATATAAACAGCTGCACCATGAGCGCATGATACGCCCGTCGCATTTTCAAAGAATAAATTTCAATCACTTCTCAATGTCATATAAAAAATTGATGAAAATCGAAAGGGAGCTTTTGTCAATAGATTTAAACAATTCACCAAAGTTTCATGAGAACTGCTGAAAGCATTTTTGAGGTATTGTCCGAAAACTGGAAAATGCCCCCTTTTTCAATGAATAAACCACCATAACTCGGAAACGTAAAATCTAAAATTTTATAAAAATTCGAAAGGGAGCTTACATCAATAGATATAAACAATTCACCAAAGTTTAATGAGAACTGCTAAACGCATTTTGGAGTTAATGTCCGACATGTTGACGACGGACGGACAGACGGACAACGGTATACCATAATAATTTATCTGAAATTTATGAAAATTGAAAGGGAGCTTTTGTCAATAGATTTAAACAATTCACCAAAGTTTCATGAGAACTGCTGAAAGCAATTTTGAGGTATTTTAACTGCAACTCGGAAACGTAAAATCTGAAATTTATAAAAAACGAAAGGGAGCTCACGTCAATAGATATAAACAATTCACCAAAGTTTTATGCAAATTGGTTAAAGCGTTTTTGAGTTAATGTCCGACATGTTGACGACAGACGGACGGACAGACGGACAACGGTATACCATAATACGTCCCGTAAAAAGGGGATGTCCATAAAACCTGACAAAACCTAACGCTCGACTATATCAACAAACGGAACGAATGATAAACTACTGTCATATTCCCGATTTGGTACAGGCATGTTCTGACGAAAACGGTGGGTTAAATCTGGTTTTATAGCTAGCTAATCCTCATTTGTAAAAGACAATACTAACAAATTGATGTATGTATGCTGTGTCAGTGTTCAGATCCTTTTTCCTAAATGCTTCAAATGGTCTCACTTTCGTGTCAGGTTAAATACAAATAAATGTGGATAGTGTCCACATGTTGACACATTTGATGTCCCCGCTTGTATATCATATAGTTATAAAGGGACATAACTGAAGAACGGTAGAAGTGACGCTACCCAAATTTAAACTTGATATGAGTTTTGTGGTAATAAGCATTCTGTGTAAGTCTCATAATATTTGGTTGAGGCTAACTTAAGTAGAGAACAGAAACTAAAAATTCAGCAATTTTTCTATTTGTAAACACGCATAACTCTAGAACGGTTGTGTATAAGTTTTATAACATTTGGTTGAGACAAACTAAAGTTAGAGAACGAAAACGAAAAATTCAGCAATTTTTATGTTTATAAAGGGACATAACTCAAGTCTGGTAAAAGTGTCGCCACCAAATTTCGTACTTAATCTGTATTATGTAGTAATAAGCATTGTGTATAAGTTTCATAACATTTGGTTCAGGCAAACTAAGGTTAGAAAACGGAAACAAAATATTTGTACTTGATCTTAGTTTTGTGGTAATGAATATTGTGTATAGGTTTCATAATGTTTGGTTGTGGCAAACTTAAGTTACAGAATGGAAACTAAATATTTTGCAATCTTTCGATTTATAAAGGGACTTAACTCAATAATGGTTAAAGTGACACTTCAAATTCAACTTGATCTGTGTTTTATCAGTGGAAGTCAAAATTAAACATTGCATTGTATAAAGCATTGATTGTAGTTGATTCAACTATAATCATGGACAAAGGAAGATAACTCCAATTTTAAAAATTACTTGATGCTTAGAAGAAAATAAATATTTTGCAATTTTTCCATTTATAAAGGAGCATAACTCTAGAACGGCTAAAGTAACGCCACCAAAATTCAAACTTGATCTGTGTTTTGTGGTCATAAGCATTGTGTATAATTATAACATTTGGTTGAGGCAAACTTAAGTTAGAGAACGGAAACTAAAAATTTTGCAATTTTTCCATTTATAAAGGGGCATAGCTCTAGAACGGTTCAAGTGACGCCACCAAAATTCAAACTTGATCTGTTTTTTGTGGTAATAAGCATTGTGTATAAGTTTCATAACATTTGGTAGAGGCAAACTCAAGTTAGAGAACGGAAACCAATTTTAGGACGTACGTACGTACAGACGGATAAGGGTAAAACTTAATGCCCCCACCGCTACGGCTGGGGCATAAAAATAGTGTTCCACACGTCAATAAGGAACAGGTATATCATTATTATTCTAGATTGAACACACTTGGATAGCTGTTTCAAAGATTATCTCATAACTACCTGAACTTTCTTTATCCTTCGGTTCTTCTTTTATCATTTCTTTTTCAGAGTTACTTGGTTTCTTTGAGCAGTAGTAAGTAAGATGACCCTCTAATGTTCTAGCACTACTGAATCGAACTCCGCAGAAAGGACAACCATACAGTAGGGCAGCTAAAACAGAAGACACAAATTACGATTACTTCTATAGTATTCATTGTTTATATATATTCGTTTTCTTTGTGCGTCATTATCAGCATCATCATCCTTATTACTAGTATTATATCATTATTCTACGTTTTGTTTTATTGCATTGCAATGTTAAATTTTAAAGGCATCCGGGTTCCTGACTGATTCTGAAATCATTCATATCATTTTGTACATTTATTACATTTTCATCATGTCATGGTGACCATCAAAGACTGTTCTTGTAGCATTATGTTGATTCAAACCACAAAAGCAAACTGACAATAAACAGGTTACACGAATAAAAGTTTTCGGATTTGCAAAAGCATAAAATTTATCAGGCATATAGTTTTCAAATTTCTTAAACATAGCATGCTTTTGAATTAAATATATATAATTACATATTAGTCAATAGGATTCACTAAACACATAAAATATATTATATATATGAACATAAAATATTACCGTGGTTGATAACGTCGTTCTTGGCTACAGAAGACGTCTGTTCTAAAGATGACGAACTTTGCACTTCCGTTTTTATGTCCATATCAATATCATCTTCTTTTTCTTTATAATCAGTTGAATCGGGACTACACGGTTCAGATTTTGGTGTGTCTTGAATTGTGAATGACGATAACAATTCTGCTCCAAATTTAAGTTCAGAAATTATTTCACACCAAATCTGGCCTCCTAAAAAAAGAAAGATCAACCGTTTTAGTCCTGGCAATGAACACTTTTGCAATCTTCAACATGTCACATAATTTCTGCAGTTCGTTTTGTGGATAAACTTTATCTGATAACGGGTTTGATTTGAGTCTTCTAGACAACGTGTGTATGCAGTTTTATCTATACGAAATGTTGATTCTAGAAGCCTAAAATCGATAGACCAAGGTCCGGCCATAAAATATAAGATAGACAGAAGAAAGAAGATTAAACGTTTGTGATTCGTCTGATAAACAATCTTAAGATAATTCAAACTTTTCCCATACAAAAATTGCAGTAAAAATTTGCTGTAAAAATTGTCAAAAAGTACAAATGTTATAAAAAAAACTAGTGGTACATGTATAGCCTTACAATCAGTATAACTTAAGAAAATGGCAAATATTCATAAATGATAAGTATTAGAATATCAAGTGTCATAAACATTTGAAGATAATGAATATTTGTGTATTCATATCTTATCTAAAAATTTTACGACTTAATCACCGTGCAAGTATTTGAAATGAAAATGGAATATCTTACTTGAAAGTATGTTTGAAATTTGTCTAAGTATACCAATCTTACACGGGTATATACACCATTTATTTATGTCTTTGAAGACGTTGATTCAAAATTATTTAACATGCATATATTACACAGATTTGAGACCCGCCACTTGGGTAATTATATAGTTCCCCAAATGAGTAACTCTTCCTCTAATAAGGAATACTTTTTAATGTTAAAAAAACAACTTTTTTTAATACACATTTTATACTTGAAATGGCAGATAATCATGAAAATTGCAGCAAATTTTGATTTACTGAGAAGTTACAAGCCTATGAAAACTTTTAAAACTCAAAATAACAATATTATTCTTTGGAAGAAGTTGTTCCATTGTCCACAAATTTTTGTCATTTTAAGTAAAAATACTTAGCCAAGAATTTTTAATTTTAGCACTATCAAATGATAGCCTAATTGAGGGTTACTCGTTTGGAGAATTATAGTTCCCTATTTGGCGGATTGTCCCCAGCCTGATAATTGCAACCATGCTGATAAGATACTCGAGTTATATTAATTATCAAGGAAATTGACATTATATAAATAATCAGAAGTATTAGAAATAAAAAAGTTTCTAAAAAGTTTCAAGATTAACCTTTTTATAAACTGTATATCAAGCATTCAATTTCTTGTAATTTGTGGTAATAATTCATGAATATTTTGTAAAAACTTAAAATGATTATTAATTATTTAATCACAACCCCCAGCCTTCCGAGATAAAATTGAAAAATGAATAAATAATTTGTTATCACGGAAAACAGCAAACATTGTAATTTTTATCAAGTTTCTTCATCAGGACAAGCTGTCGAAGGTTTTATGAATCATGATCCTAATCTACTGTGATCAGGGGCTCTATGTGGCGGACGAGGATGTACGATAATAGGTTATCGTCAAAATACAGGAAATTTTAATTTCTTAAAATTATAGGATAACGCTCATGAATAAATTAATATGAATATTTTATAACATATGGTGAAATTCAATGAAATAATTTTTAGATTATATTCCTTGTTTTAAAGTAGTTTATAATGACATTTGATGATTTTGCTGATCGAAATTTCAAAATATTATACTAATGAATATCGGATACAATATCTATTTTCTTTGTTTAATGGATTTCTACGATCTTTCGTGAACTCTCAAGTTTTTATATTATAAAATGGTCATAAATTGTTTAATGAGAACTCTTAACATGATTAATTGAAAAATGTTAAAAAAATATTTTTTTAAATGTAAATTAATTGTTAAAATTAATTGCGAGATTTTTACACATTTTAATATATGTACATGTACATGTACAATGTATTTTTTGAATAAAAGACGTTAGGCAAGCAACAATCAATCAATCTTTCAGTAAACATGAAAAAGTGCATATTTTGTTACAATACAAACCATGAAATTTTTAACAACACTGTTTATGTTGTGGATATAAAAAGTTGCTAGAAAAGAAGTCGGTCATATTTTACTAATCTTGAATATCAAAAATCATATATCCAGACAGTATACAAATCTTATATATTTTTTACATATTTTATTATCGTATCTTATTCAAATCTTATCATATTATAAAGACACGCGTAGGTTTTTGTTTCTGTAGAGTTTCATATTTCTTTAATCCAAAGTCTAGATTCTAAACACCGACCACCAGTAGCGTCTTTGATGACCAAATAGTTTAGATAAAAGAGGTCATCACTTTCATATGGGCAAGATAGTGTCTGTCAAATTTTTCCTTATATGTGATTATATTCTTTCAACAAGCGAATAGAGAAGAAAAATTATATCTCAAAACGAGGTATGCTTTATGATTTAGTATTATTTCTTTAGGGAATTTAATCAAGATAAGTGTAAAATTACGCGACAATAGATCGATCATTTTTGCAGATAAGATTAGAGATTAAAAACGTCAGTCCGTTAACGACAAAATTATGCAACTTTAAGTATGAAATATTCATGACGAATTCGAACCCTATTCGGGAAATTCTATTCCATTAATTGTTGGATAAAAGTACCACAAAGACAAGAATTCTAGTGAACGAGATAGTATGATAATCTCCTACGCAAGTGTTGTATGTTATCATAGGATTTTATCTAATAACACCTTAGTCTGCCTTTGTTGTGAGGAGACGATAGGAATCTGAGATCGGGTCTGTCATCCATCTTTTTTGACAAACAAGGATACTTCATTGATTAGGTAGACGATAATAAAATGCATTCAACAATGAAAGTTTACACCAATATCCACGTATAAAACATCTGCCCTGCTGTTTGATAGTCGAGAGAATAGGAATTAACATATAATATTCTTTTCCCTCTATTAATTAACGATAAAATCACTATGTGTATGTTATCTCAGATTTGATCTATACTGCGCCAGTCCCGTACGTTATCATTCTTTTATCTTGATCTGTAATCGATTCGGTATTCTCTGGGGGATAACTGGGTGATTATTCTATGGTAAAAATACAGTAAATGTAGATGAAGGAGAAAATATTTTAGTTCATTTTTTCATGTGTTTAGTCTTATTTTACATTTTCATTAAAATCTCAGAATGCGTTATTAAATATTTGAAGTAAACCCTATAGATTGAAATAAACAATTAATTTCCCCATAGGCGACAATGATAGCCTTTTTCGAGATACAGACTTTAGAAAGTTGATTTTTTTAACGAAACCTTGCTAGAATTAAAGAAAAGTTATTAGGACAGTATTTTTTGGTCCAAAAAATATAGGTTCGCGTTGCTTTTCTTAGCGTAATTTGTACTTATCTCCCATGCCTATCAATTTTGCACTTAAAAATACGTGTCTCATCCTAGCGTTTAAAAGACATCTCAGTTCCGTTAGGGCTAAGGAAAATAATTTATTAGGCCTTTGGTAAAATGCAGAATGCACGAAGTCTCTAATAACAAAAAATAACGGGCGCACATATCAACCAATCAGGATTAGCTATACTCTTAATTCTGAATACCATGTTGCGCCCATAAAATCTAATGGTGTATTGTAACCTATAAGTGTGCTCCGTGCCATCGGCCAAACCAAAATACCGAAGTAATGATGGAGTACACCATTACTAAGGATAGTATACTGATGGACAAAACATCAGTTCAGTACACCATTACTTGGGATAGTTTACTAAGTAACTGAGAACTGTTTCTTGTAAGAAGAAGAAAATACTAGAATAATAACTTATCGTTATAGAATATACATAGACTGTGAAGTACTGATAGTGCAGCCTCAAAACAATGCCAAAAAGCTATAAAGAATAATTATGCAATACTTTATATTGACCATACATATGGACTTGCTTCAAACAAAATTCTACATAAGGTAACGAAAATCATTGAATCTGAGATCGGGTCATTCACCTCTTCATGAAAAATAAAAAAATAAAAATACTGAAATAAAACAAAATTGTTACGCCTTTAAGAAATGTTCCCGTTGTTTTGTAACTATAAATAGATAATCTCAAGAGTAGGCTGCGGACTTTAAGACCGCGATGAAACTTTCATATATTTTACATAAAATCTGAACGAAATTGTTACCAATCACAACCACAATATGAATCCCCATACTCATAAAACAAGCCGTAAAATGAAAACCAGTTGAGAAATGCTTGCATGAATAATAGTCATAATAGTTTAATTAAGCAAATCCACAAAATCATCAAATCTAAATAGTGGAATACATGAAGCTTGTTCAACTACTACCCTTGGTGAATTATAATCCTAGTAAATACGAAGAAGATTTTCAATAAATGATTTTCAGTGTAATTAAAAATTTTGTTTGCATACAGTTTAATGGTGGTAAATAAAATACCATAAACTGCAAACAAACCAACTAGATCAAGGTGTATACGTATAATGTCCCGCAGCAAATATTTCATACACATATTCGGCGGCAAAATAAAGATGTCCTATAAAATTAACCAGCTTAATTAAATACCGTCACGCGGAGTGGAATATTCATTGTACTTGCTAACAAAGTAACGGCCCTCATGACTCCTCACAACGAATCCAGACTCAATATTCCGTGTAACTCCAAGCTAACTACATGTATAGTCGTAGCTTTTTCCAAGGACTTAATAAAAAAAGCATTTTATACTAACTTTAAGTTATTTGGTTTGACCAAGTTAAAAAAAAGGTGTAGGCAATTGCAGTATCTTTGTAGTGTACACCAGATCTCTTAAACATAAACACGTAATGAGATTCTATTGCTTTAGTTAGACGTGCTCAGTTCTTCCCATTTTCTCGATTTCAAAATCCTCTATAATTCAGACGTGCAAAAACTACTGGATTAAATTATGTCGACTTCTTAAGAAAAAAACTCGCAGACACTCATCCCTCTTCCAAAATAAAAAAAGGACAAAGGTCCACTAATTGATTGTAACTTGCTTAACGTCCAGTGGCAAATATTCTATGCGTGTTGAGGACGATAAAAAAGAAACTGGACAACAATTCGATTAGAAAATCGATATTTATCTAGTTATCAACGAGATGCCAATATTTCCTAACAACAGTATAACAATAAGCACAGTCAGTAAGATGTACGAAGCAATGCAAATGGAAAGATCAAATGAAGTGACTATTCGTTTGAATATATATAACTAATACTAGATGTATCTGACATACCTTTGTAAAACACCGACGTATTTCGGACAGAATCACTTGCTGCCGGTCGTAACATAGTCAACCAGGTAGCATTTGGGTCTTCTACTCGCACAAAACTTGTCTCCCCATTTTCCTCTTGAGCCTGAAACAGACAAGATATATTGTATTAATTTACAAGCTAAGATCAATATATGTTTTAATATATAGAATAAAGTACTAACAGCGTTCTATCATTGATTCAACAGTAGTTCAACTAAACGACTTTTATCAAGACAAACACCTAAACTGTTGCAAGTAATTGTCCACATAAAGTAAAAACTCGAAAATATTGTAAATTAAATTCGAAACACATTCTTCTTAATTCGAATCATGATGAACTTATCCACGCGTTATAATCTAATTATAAGCAATTTGATGTTAACAGACTAACATACATAAAGTGAAGAAGTACTTCACCCGACATGGAACAAACTGAAGTTTAACCTTTTTCAACTCGGATCTGTCGTCGACAAATCTATGGTTCTTCGAAAATACATATTCGTTGTAAATGATAACCTAAGTAACTATGCTGTCAGTTTTGAAGTATTTTGAGTCATGTAAACATTTCTGTATCTATTTAATCAAAAGGTGGTCGGTACAGATAATCTATCAATATTTTTGATCAGAAACCATCTGTCTAAACTGTCAAAATGGTCGTTTATCAACACGAATATCTTTCCCATCTCTTGATCGGAGACTTCGTGCAGTGCTTTAGTGCGTCCCAATTCTCCTCCAAGATTGAAGATTGTCAGCCAAACCCGATAACTCGCATCTGCGGACTTATCATTAGACTAGAATTCTTATTGATAGAAGAAGGGCTTATCTAACAAAGTCTTTGTGATAAAATTTCACATGAGTTGTGAACTTAGATAAATGAATAACATTTCATTTTTGATATGGTTTTATCATCTTAGTGATATTCTTATCAACAGGTTTTTGTCAGATATACTGATAAATAAATTCGAAGTCATGCACTTTGAAAAAATGACGTGATAGTTTCGAAAATAAAAGAAATTTATCAGATTATTTAGGGTTGCTCGCGACCCCAAGGGTTGAAAAAATCTGATGAGAATTTAATTATTTGAAATTGGTCAGAAATAAACCATTGTTGCCAGAAACAGGTGGCTAGAATCTGAATTAGATCACAGAATTGACTCTCAGTATCAAGTTCAACTTTAAATAAATTTTCAGTTTCTTATCATAAAGATATATTTTGTTTATGTGAGTACATCTAAAGTGGTGATTAAATCCGGAATTCGAATCAGATTGCATGTTCTAATTAAGTTGCTATTGAGATCAGCATATAACTATGTAAAATGTAGCTATAATCTTTGTTGAACTCCTCATACATTGATTATTTGTATCATAAAAATTAATAATGACTTCAGAAGTTTATTGTGAAATTGGCATTGAAGGTTCACCGAAAACCAGCAGAGAGAGTTACTGAATAAAGACAACCGTATACATACATGTGCATAATGCAGAAACACAATCCGGAAGATTCCTTTAAGATATCCACGGTACATGTAGTAGGTGTAGGTATGTGTACAATATGTCTTAATCATACATGATTTGTCGCTGATATCCCATCGGCAAATATTACAGATATATTGAAAACGCTTTATCGATTTGGGAAATAGGACAATAATTGAGATTCTTCCCGAATTGAAGATTCCTTTTGAAACTCGGTTGAAACACTATGTTGGATATGATTAGACGTCACCCTTCCGACAAAGACTAATACCGAGGAGACATACGTTTGGCTGTGAGACGTGTGTGTACCTGTACATGCACATGTCCAGTCGGAATAGGATGTTTTAAGTGAATGTCACGAAGTGAAAGTATGCAGCGCTCATTCCAGGCACATTTTAGATTACTTGCATGATATTGTTGTCCGACTGTATAAGTGACCTGTTGCTAGGGAAAATTTTAGACCTACATCAACGCTATTCGTAGTTAAGTCTTAATATCCTACCACCCTATGATCGAATTCTAACAAGTTGTATATTTTTACATGTAACTCGTCCTATACCTGAAATATTTGCCACTGATATTTAACAGTTGTTTAATCAATCACTCCAAATTGAGAAACAAAAGAAGATTAAAAACCTATCTTACAAACCTCATAAATATGAAAACTTATTTAATGAAGAAAAATACTTTAAGTCTTTTTTTGTATATTTCGATTTGTAAAATATACAACCGCAATAAAACAAGCATTCTGAGAGTATTGCATGGCAATACATAGTCCCCTGCCGGGTAAAAATTCATTATACTGGAACAAAATGCTAACTTGTTTTATAACTTGTCATGGTGTAAACAAAAAGAGTGGAAAACTGATTATATGAGTGAATTTTTCAAGTCCAAGGACCATAACTCTGCACAAAATTATCAGACCGAAACAAACATTTGAACTTGACCTGTAACTTGTCATGATAAAACTATATACCAATTATCAATCAATATCTTCAAGCATGATTAAAAAAAAGTGTGGAAAACACCCGTACATTAGATGTGATTAATAGTTATCTAAAATAAGATATGATGTAATACAATGTATATTTATTTTCAAGTTATAATCAAATATAATAATAGTTCCAAATATTTTTTCTTTCATTTGTCACAAACTAATATAGATTTGTAACTTATCTATAAAATGTCAACAACTTTTTTCTTTTTTTGTAATGAAATATATACCTTAATAAAAATAGATTATTATCTAATTAAAAGATTTCACTTCATAATTTTTTTTTATGTATATGGCATTCAGAAAATTAGTTTATACAAAATAAAAAACACTTCAAACAATTAACCAAAGAATGTCTTTATAAAAATGAGTTATCTCTCTTTGTACAGAAATATGGTTTAACATACAAAATGTAGTACTCTAACATTAGATATGGACCATGATAACTCTGGACTAAATCATCAGACCGGAACAAAATTCGAACTTGACCTATAACTTGTCATGATAAAACTATATACCAAATATTAAATCAATATCTTCAAGAACGAAGAAAAAAAGTGTGGAAAGCTGATTTGCCGGACTGACGGATGGACAGACAGACGGACGGAGTGTAAACCTAAAGACCCCTTCGACATCGTCGGTAGGGGACTAATAATAAATATGGTCTTAAAGCAAAGAAAACTCCATCATATGGTGCTGTTAATATGGTCTTAAAGCAAAGAAAACTCCATCATATGGTGCTGTTAATATGGTCTTAAAGCAAAGAAAACTCAATCATATGGTGCTGTTTATATGGTCTTAAAGCAAAGAAAACTCCATCATATGGTGCTGTTTTTGTTTTATACTCAAGTTATTTGGTTAAATAATTCGTAATAATTTAATTTTGGATGTAACACGTCTTCTGATTGGCTGAAAGTGTTTTGTCTATCAGCTCATAGACATAATTTTGTCATGTGACCGCGACGTCATCAACGTTTTTATCATGATTTACTCCTTTTTAGAATTAAATTATAAGGAATGACTTTAATATTTTTTCTGTCTGTTCGAAATAACATAAAAAATGTGGTGCACACTTTAAAATAACCCGCTACGCGGGTTATTCAGTGTGCATCACATTTTTTTATGTTATTTCTTCATAGACAGAAAAAATATTACTGTCATTCCTTAAATATTTTCAATCCTCTATCATTGTAATTTCGGTTTAGTTGTTACTTGATAGCTTACTATAGTATATGAAACATTTAGTGTTTTTCAAGTTGTATGTAGAATTACCTGCAAGACCATATCACCTTGGCGGATAGAGCTCAGGGACACAATTTCTGCATCAAATGGTCCAATACATGAACCTTTAGGTAGTGGAATGGCTGCGCAAACTAAGAATGATCGGCCCGTCTGATGAGCTTCGTCTTTGTCTACTTTCTTTAGTAGAAGAACGTCATTTAGAAATATCACAGGAGCTTTATCGTCTTGAATTGACACTCGATCGTTGTCATTTGGAACCTCCGGACTTGTTGGTTCAGACTTTATGGTAGGATTGGAATGTACAATGGATTCACCTATTACAGGGCATGGGGAAACCGACTCCGTGTCAGACTTGCTGGATTCAGTTGATTTCATGTCTGCTTCATCATCTTCATCGTCGGATAGTCCTGAAATGAATAGAAAGATATTTTCTTATACTTTAATTTGATTCTGTTCCACATATGTATTGTGGTTGTTAAATGAGAGAGAGAGAGAGAGAGAGAGAGAGAGAGAGAGAGAGAGAGAGAGAGAGAGAGAGAGAGAGACTTTTCACCTTTTTTTCAACAGGAAACTTTATCTTTTTGTTAGAGACGTTTGTCATAGATATTTTGTTAATAGAGTAAAATGTTTTATTTCCCCCCAATTGACTTGTTTTTAAAACTGATTGCGACAATAAACGGAAAGATCAATCACATACTTATCTTATTTGCAACACGTTTTCCTTCACTATCTGGTTAATTTATTATGAACTTAATGATGAATTTCCTGATACATTCGGAAGTATTACAAAAACAAATATGGAAATATATATTTCCTGATTGATAACGAATTCATCTATACAAAAGGATATTTAGTTTCCGAACAAAATCTAAGACCTGTCAGACTTGTCATTATTTCTAATGCCATGTATATATATATACCTCATTTCTGGACGATGTAGATAAGTTAGTGATAATAAAACATATAATTAAGTAGTTTTGCTCTTTTACGTAAACTTATTTTATATATTTCATTTTTAGTGGGTGGGATGACAAATTTCCCAGTATTTGAATCAAATAAATTTGTTGTATAAACCTAAAGGTTTTTATTCTCCCGCCGTAGCGGAGGGGGCATTAAATTTTACCCTTGTCCGTCTCTACGTACGTACGTCCCAACATTGGTTTCCGTTCTCTAACTTTAGTTTGCCTCAACCAAATATCATGAAACTTATACACAATGCTTAATACCACAAAACACAGATCAAGTTTGAATTTTGGTTGTGTCACTTTTACCTTTCTAGAGTTATACCCCTTTACAAATGGAAAAATTGCTGAATTTTTCATTTCCGTTCTGTAACTTTACTTCTTAATAGGGAGACAAATTCTTTGAATAATTTCACAAAAACCTTGTTACTGGGTATTATATGGACAACTTTGATACAATAATGTAATTTGTATAAAAAGATTAAAAATGTGTTGATAGAATGATCCATGCCGAAGTTATTTCAAGACCAACTTGTCTGGATGTAGTGTGTTGCATGTTAATACCTGCTTATTGTTGAAGACCGTACGGTGACCTATAGTTGTTAATTTCTGTGTCATTTGGTCTATTGTGGAGAGTTGTTTCATTGGCAATCATACCATCTTCTTTTTATATTTAGTATATTGCCATGCAAATGGCATAGGAAGAACTCTACATTTATAAGGTATCATATCGTAAAAGAACTTTTCAAATTCCCTCAAATTTTATTTCAATGATGTATATTTCCATATCTTTATGAGGTACCAGTGAGTGCACTACAAGAGTCATAAATAAAAGATAATTTTCACAAAATCAATAGGATATGAAATAAACATGGCGAGAACGTTATCTGTTACGATCTGCAAGGGCACTATCAACGACTTGGAGTGTAAATTACGTCTAATTAGATTTATCTTTTTTAAATAATTTTGCTAATTACTCTTCGAATGTATTAGGACCTATTAAATTATGTGAATATTGAATATTCCCATTCACGATTGTCATTGATGTTCAATTCAATAATTTTTGTTATCTCTATATTTATCTCAAAAAACCTTCAATAATCAACTCTCCTGTTGACGCACAAACCATTACACAGCTAGTTTTGCTCTCTCTTTTGACGTGTGTTGTCTCTTTTTTGCAAATAAAATTATCTTATTTTAAAATTTTACATCAAAGAATTTTCTTTTAGATTAAAATCACTGGTTTTATCGAGATCTCTTTGTATGTGATCATGTTTTAACAGGAAAACATTTTATTTTCCTTAAAATCTATGTGTAGGTGATTGAAAGTTTTTTGGTCTATTTTGTATTCGTGTCTATATGTGTGTGAATCATTAATGATATTTAAGGAATTGTCTCGCCCAGTACGCTTGAAACTTTCATCGGAACGTGCATGGTGAACCACAATGATGAAAATAATCAATACATTCATGTTTTCATTCGAACGAGTGCTGGCACATTACGAACTTAAATCTAAGGACCACATTGAATGAAAGTACCTTTGTCTAATACCATTGAGGTATATTGCAATGTTATTCACTGATGAGTACGAGTAGTTAAAATAACTAAAATTAGACAGCCAGATTCAATTTATGAATTGCATTCAATTTAGATCAAATTTCCTAAGATATAATCTTCTGCCAATTTATACATATATGGCTCACATAAAGCTTTTCATTTGACAGATATCAGTTAAAATCTAAAAATTTATGTGTACTTATCAACTTTCTAAAGTAGAAATTCATAAATAAAAAAGATAAATGAAAAAAAAAAAAAATGTGAATGAAGAATAAAAAAAAAGGTTTACTTTTACACGATGACAAATTAAGCCATTTACTGTTCTAGTTCAATGGTAGATATAATTGAATAGATATATCTCCAATAAATGGTAATATTTTTATCGCGTACCAACTCTTTGCCTGTCTCCCATCTGCTTGCTAATGGTTACTGATGTAGATAAAATAAGTCCTAATGTAATTGGAAATTTGCTATATCACGAAATAGATATTGAATTTGATAAAGCTTTCATACTACCCGAGTATTGATTATGATAAGGACAAAAAAGGATGTTAAATGGATGAAAAAAGAAAAATGATTACTGCTGATCACAATCCGTAACAAGCCCAAATGAATAAAAATCGTTTCTACATCAGATGGGTGTCTTCTTTGAAGTCCGCAATCAACACTCTCATCAACATTAAATATTACTGGACAAGAATTTATCAGTGTTTTCAATCAGGTCGGCTTTCGTATCGGTATTGATCAGCCCCAGTACGTGTTAACACAAAGGGAAATACCTTTTGAACACCTTGCAATTAGATGTTATCTTAAAAACGATATAAAATTGAAGCACTTAGCTAACTATATCATTTATGACTTTGGGAGATGATCTTTATACGTGTAAAATTTGAAAAACATGTTAAAATTTTTAAAATTGTAAAATCCTTTCTAATCGAGGCACCACTGTGATAAAGATCTGTCTATTTGCTCTCACTTTCACTTATGGACAAGTAGACGTCTGCCAAAATAGATCTAAGTGTCGTGAGAAAAATAAAACGTCTTACACTGTTTTGAGTATAAACGTTGAGCAAAGCGAGTGCTGTGTAATATACCCTATGTATACTAAACAATAATCCAAACAATATTTGTTTAAATTCTAAGCCTTGGTATGTTTTTTCTACATGTGTGTGTCATTTTTAAGCATGCATATATGCTTGAAGTTAATTTCTATGGACATTTAATCAGACTTTACAGACGAAGAACAGCAGTAAAAGCTATGCCAGTTTTAAATATATATATGTATCTTTAAATCTTTTTCTTTTGACTATTGCCTGATGTAGTACATCAGTGCCCTTTTTCGTTCTCAATAGAACTTTATTTGTAAATATGTAAGACCAATTTCCCCTCAATTTCTTTCCCACCACATTTTTTCTGAAAACACTAGCACAATAAGGTCTAGTGTTCTCTTCAAAATGTTGTTCCATGCACCCCCATCATATTTAGCTGAACGATTATTGTGGAAGTGTAAGGTTTTACAATGGAAAATTGCAAGATGAAACTTTAGGTTGTTTCAAAGTTTTCGATATCACAAGCATGGTGTTCTGTATTGTTACTGATTGTTATAAAGACTGAATTTCTGTACAGTTAACACACTTTCAAGGCATTGGGTCGCACGATATTGGTCCGATATTATATACTTTCACAATTCCCGTATCATTTGTTATCAGATAAAAGTTTGTGACTCTCGTATATTGTAACGAGGTCAAGAATATTTTTACCTTTTGAAGAAGTCCATAAAATATTTATATGCTGTAATAAAACACTGATAAGATAACAGGAAATATATATATACAAACAAGTGTAAATTGAAAACAACGTTCAAACCTATGATTGCGTTGGATAAAAACCGCAATTTTTATACGTGTGCATGCAAAACAAATTTCTTGTTAGATGGGTCTAAATACAGCACAAACAACAATTTCCAAAAGACCAAAAAAGTGAAAAAGTATATTTTAACAAAACGCATTTGACTAACAGGTCGAACAACAAATGCTGTTAAACCTTGCTGATATATATATCCGATTTCACCTTGAGAGATGCACACGCCTGATGAAGCTAATTTGTTTAAATTAACAAGAAAAGACTATTCCTTTGTATCGATCTGATGAGTTAAGCCCTTTTCAACTGATTTTTATAGTTTGTTCTTATTTTGTAACTGTTACACCACTGTCCCAGGTTAGGGGGAGGGTTGGTGCGCCTTCAAACTAGTAAGTTTAACCCCACCACATTCTGTATGTGCCTGTCCCAAGTCAGGAGCCTGTAATTCAGTGGTTGTCGTTTGTTGCTGTATATCATATTTGTTTTTCATTCATTATTTTGTACAAAAATCAGGCTGTTATTTTTCTCGTTTGAATTGTTTTACATTTGTCATTTCGGGGCCTTTTATAGCTGAATATGCGGTATGGGTTTTACTCATTGTTGAAGGCCGTACGGTGACCTATAATTGTTAATTTCTGTGTCATTTTGGTCTGTTGTAGAGAGTTGTCTCATTGGCAATCATACCACATCTTCTTATTTTTATATCATCGCTGATTCACTGAACATATTTTTGTACTAAATACTATCATCATGCCAGTAAATTTAAACATGCAAACATTGTTATATAAATACATACATGCATATTGTATGTTAAAATCACAGCTATATATATTTAGTTCTGATAAATGATCTTTATTCTCTGTATTGCTGCATGTAATGCAATGAAATGCTTCTATTTATTTCTAGTTCAGACTGTCCCGACATAAGCTTTGATTATTCAATCGGGTTCTGATGCGCTTTAATCTAAGTATCAATTTATCAATTTATCGAAAGAGCTTCAATAAAGTCTCCATACAGATAGAAACGTA